ATGTCCATATCCAATAGTTCTGATGGAGAGGGCACAATCTCTGAATTTTTCCCCTATTGGGTGTTCCTCCTCCTAGTCATTTTAGTGAGAGGTGGATGATTGGATTAGAGCTGAATATATCAACCACGTTCCAGGCAAGGTGCACCATCAGAGCAATCAGAAATCACCACCAAAAAGAAAGAAAATAGAAAAAAGAGAGAGAGAGAGAGAGAAAGAGAGAGGGAGATAATAGAAAACCTCACCAAAATGAGCCCCCAAAGTAAGATTCATAAGGTATATAAACAAAATAGGATAAAAAGATCCACAAAAGTAAATAACAAGAAAAAAAAGAAGAACCGAGTCAAATGAACTCCAAGAATAAGATTTATTTAATACCAGAACAAAAACAAATACACAGAACCACTGACAGACGAGAAGGATGGGAAGGTGGTTATACATCCTCGATATAGGCAAGAAAGTTACTTTGGTTCTTCCTGGGTATATCTTGATATCTTTGTTAAAGACTCAACATTCCATATATAAAAGGAGATTAAAACTGGTTTATATATAGGGGTAGTATTCAATAGGGAAAAAAGGATTTCCTTGAGATTAAATATATATGTATATTAAAAAAGAAAAAGAATAATAGAAAAATAAAAACGCAGGTGTATGTAAAAGTTCAAGTTAAAAGGTTATTATGGAATATGTTGTATTAAACATGTAGTTGTAATGGTAAATTGGTCAAATTTTTTTTTAATATCCTGAGATTGAATTAAAAGTAAAACGTGTGTCTATGAAATATACAGGTTTTAGGGCAATACTCTGAGCTTAATATATTGTTTTCCCTGATGTAGGGGTTTTACAGTTTTATGAAGACCCTGTGGTAGTTGTTCTCTCATTCTTTCAGCTCGCCTTCTGGGAGAGGGACCTGCTTCATTCTTTTTAGTCAGTCTTGCATGGGTTGAGTCATCCTTGCCCCTATCAAGGGGCTGTGCTATATTTAAAGTAGTTTTCAAGACTTTTGTTCTCTGGAGGGTTTTGTGCTTTTGTGGCTTTTTCTTTTCCTTTTTTATGCATTCTTATCTGTTTTTTTTTTAATTTTAATTTTATTTTTTTAATTTAATTTTATTTCTTTAGTGTTCCAAGATTCTTCATATATGCACCAAACCCAGTGTTGCATGCAATATGTGTTCTCCTTAATACCCACCACCAGGCTCACCCAACACCCCAACCCACTCCCCTCCAAAACCCTCAGTATGTTCCTCCGAGGCCACAGTCACTCATGGTTCATCACCCCCTCCACTTTATGCCCACTCACTTCTCCTCCCCTTCTCCCACTATCCTCCCTGTTATACCTTATGCTCCACAAGTAAGTGAAACCAAATGATAATTGACTCTGTACTTGACTTATTTCACTCAGAATAATCTCTTCCAGTCCTGTGCATGTTGGTACAAAATTTGGGTATTAATTTTTACTGAAGCAGGCATAACACGCCATAGGATATATGGACCATAACTCCTTTATCCATTCGTATTTTGAAGGGCATCTTGGCTCTTTCCACAATTTGGCGACTGTAGCCTTTGCTGTTATGAAAACTGGTGTACAGATGGCCCTGCTTTTCACTGCTTCTGTACCTTTGTCATAAATACCCAGTAGTGCAATTGCAGGGTCAGAGGGAAGCTTTATTTTTAATTTCCTTAGGAATCTCCACACTGTTCTCCAAAGTGGCTGCACCAACTTGCATTCCCACCAACAGTGTGAGAGGGTTCCCCTTTCTCCACATCCTCTCCCACACACGTTGATCCCTGTCTTGGTAATTTTGGCCATAGTACCTGGTATAAGGTGGTATCTCAATGTGGTTTTGATTTGAATCTACCTGATGGCTAGTGATGATGAGTATTTTTTCCTGTGTCTGATAGAAATTTATATGTCTTCCTTGGAGAATTGTCTGTCCCTGTCTTCTGCCTATCTTTTGGCATGATTATCTGCTTTGTGTGTGTTGGTTTGAGGAGTTCGTTATAGATCCTGGATATCATCCCTTTGTACTGTCATTTGCGAATATCTTCTCCCATTCCCTGGGTTGCTTCATTGTTTTGTTGACTATTTCCTTTGCTGCGCAGAAGCTTTTGATCTGATGAAGTCCCAAAAGTTCATTTTCACTTGTGTTTCCTTTGCCTTTGGAGACATGTCTTGAAAGAAGTTGCTGTGGCTGATGTCAATGAAGTTACTGCCTAAGTTCTCCTCTAGGATTTTGATAGATTCCCTCATCACATTGAGGTCATTAACCACTTTGAGTTTACTTTTGTGAATGATGTAAGAGAAACTTCAAGGTACCTTCTTTCATACATAGCTGTCCAATTTTCACAGCACCATTTATTGAAGAAACGGTCTTTTTTCCACTGTATTTTTTTGCATTTTTTTCGAAGATTATTTGACCATAGAGTTCTGGGCTCTCTACTCTTTTCCACTGACCTATGTGCCTGTTTTTATGCCAGTACCATGCTGTCTTGGTGATCACAGCTTTGTAGTAAATCTTGAAATCAGGCAACGTGATGCTCTCCAGGGTTGTTTTTCTGTTTCAACATTTTCTCAGCAATTCGGGATCTCTTCTGGTTCCATGCAAATTTTAGGATTGTTTGCTCTAGTACTTTGAAAAATGCCAGTGGAATTTTGACCGGGATGGCACAGAAAGTATATATTACTCTGGGAAGTACAGACATTTCTACAATGTTTATTCTTCTGATCCATGAGCATGGAATGGTCTTCCATCTTTTTTTTTTTTTTTTTTTTGGTCTTCCTCAATTCCTTTCATGAATGTTCTGTAGGTCCTTGATACAGATCCTCTACTTCTTTGGCTAGGTTTATTCAAAATTCAGAAATCATTCAATGTGATAGAACAAATAAATAAGAGAAGAGAGAAGAACCACATAGTCCCCTCAATTGATGCAGGAAAAAAAAAAAAAAAACATTTGAAAAAATACAATATCCATACCTGATTGAAATTCTACAAAGTATAGGCATAGAGGGAAAATTCATCAACTTCACAAAATTTATCTAGGAAATACCCAAAGCAAATATTATTCTCAATGGGGAAAAGCTGAGGGTCTTCCTTTTGAGATCAAGAACACGAAAGGATGCCCACTCCCACCACTCTTTTTCAACATAGCATTCAAAATCCTAGCAAGAGCAATCACACAACAAAAAGAAATAAAAGGTATTCAAATTGGCAAAGAAGAAGTCAAACTCTCCAAGTTCACAGATGACATGATACTTTATATGGAAAGCCCACAAGAGTCCACCCCCAAACTACTAGAACTCATACAGCCATTCAGTAATGTGGCAGGATACAAAATCAGTCACAGAAATCAGTTGCTTTCTTATACACTAACAATGAAAGTATAGAAAGGGAAATTAGAGGATCAATTCCATTTACTATTGCATCAAGAACCATAAGATACCTGGGAATAAAGACTACAGACAGAGGACTGATATCCAAGATCTATAAAGAACTCCTCAAACCAACACACAAAAAAACAGATAATCACGTCAAAAAATGGGCAGAAGATATGAACAGACATTTCTCCAAAGAAGACATACAAATGTCTATGAGACACATGAAAAAAATGTTCATCATCACGAGCCACCAGGGAGATTCAAATTAAAACCACATTGAGATACCACCTTACACCAGTTAGAATGGCCAAAATTAACAAGACAGAAAACAACGTGTGTTGGAGAGGATGTGGAGAAAGGGGAACCCTCTTACACTGTTGGTGGGAATGCAAGTTGGTGCAGCTGCTTTGGAAAAAAGTGGGGAGATTCCTTAAGAAATTGAAAATAGAGCTTCCCTATGACCCTGCAATTGTGCTAGTGTATATTTATCCCAAAGATACAGATGTAGTGAAAGGAAGGGCTATCTGTACCCCAGTGTTCATAACAGCAATGGCCACAGTTGCCAAACTGTGGAAAGAACCAAGATGCCCTTTAATGGATGAATGGACAAACAGACAAATGGATAAAGAAGATATGGTCTATATATACAATAGAGTGTTATGCCTCCTTCAGACAAAATGAATACCCAACTCTTGTATCAACATGGACAGGCCTGGAGGAGATTATGCTGAGTGAAATCAGTCAAGCAGAGAGTCAATTATTGTTTGGCTTCACTTACTTGTGGAGAATAAGGAATAACAGGAAGGACATTATGAGAAGGAAAGGAAAAGTGAATCAGGGGAGAATGGAGGAGGGTGATGAACCATGAGAGACTATGGACTCTGAGAAACAAACTGAGGGTTTTGGAGTGGATGGGGGTGGTGGTTTAGGTGAACCTGGTGGTGGGTATTAAGGAGGGCACATATTGCATGGAGCACTGGGTGTGGTGCATAAACAGTGAATCTTGGAACATTGAAAAAATAAAATAAAATTAAAAATAATAAATCTCAAAAGGATCAAGTTACTTGCAAATATATGACAAACGTGAGTAGACACATAGGAATACATGGAACATTGCCAGCCATTATTTCCAACCACTATAAGGAAAATTTTTGTTTGTTTGTTTTTTATATGATAAAATTTTCACTCTCTACCTCCACATGCCAGCGAAGTAGGAACAGTGATATTTATAGTGAATTATGGGGGTAATCCACAGAAAGTGACCCAGCAGTTCCACGGGCGATGGAACTGGTAAAGGAGTTTATTGCATTATAAATGTATATCATGTATTCATGTATCTGGAGGAAAGATTGAACGTGTTGAATCTGGGGAAGCCTCTGGGTCTGACACACTTCCATGTCCATGTGAGCATTCATGCACATGACCCACCCATCTCTCGCACATCCACCCAGCTGCACTGGTGTGCAGGCCCGCCCACTGCCACACCCTGTGACTGTGACCTCATCTCCACAGGTGGCCCCCAGGTGTGGGGAGCTGGTAGTATGAAGTAGCTCTCTATTCTGTCAGATGCTCTAGACCTGGCCCTCACTAGGATCTACCCTTGGTCCCTTCTTGCTGACAGATATCTCTGAGTAGGGGCCTGATGCTAGCAGAGGGCCAGGTCATCATGAGGACGCTCTTCTTGCTGCTTGCTGTCTGGGCAGGGCTGGCTCTTGTCCAATGTTCTCAAGGCCATCCATCATGGCGCTACATCTCCTCTGAGGTGGTCATTCCCAGGAAGGAGCTGCACCATGGCAAAGGCGTTCAGATACCAGGCTGGCTATCCTACAGCCTGCGATTTGGGGGCAAGAGGCACGTTATTCACATGCGGCGCAAGAAACTGTTTTGGTCCAGACATCTGCTGATGATGACTCAGGACGACCAAGGAGCCTTGCAGATGGACTACCCCTTCATCCCTCCAGACTGTTACTACCTCGGCTACCTGGAGGAGATTCCTCTTTCCATGGTCACCATGGACACATGCTATGGGGGTCTTGAAGGTATCTTGAAGTTGGATGACCTTGCTTATGAAATCAAACCCCTCAGCGGTTCCCAAAGTTTTGAGCACATTGTTTCTCAGATAGTAGCAGACATGAATGCGACGGGACCTACCTATAAACTGGGACATCGGGAGGTTAGGGATCCCCTATTCTCTCAAGCAAATGCCAGTGTTGTCCCTAGGATCTCTAGTAAGATGTATTCATCCCATCACGGAAATATGAAAGCACTTGCCCTAAGTTCCAACTCAATGTATACTGTGTTTAACAATGTGTCAAAATGTGCCCAATTCCTGATAAGGGTATTTAGTTTAATTGACACATTCTTTCAAGCTATTGATATCAATTACTATATTGGATTCATGATCATTTATGATCAGGAAGATCCAACTTACTTGGAGTATTATCATGAGGTACATAGCCCATATGTTCGATATTATCAGTCTTTTTTATATACCGTTCTTGAACCACATTCATCCATAATTTTGATTAAAGAAGGGCCAGAGGATCATAATTATGAACCTGAGTTATATGGCATTTGCCAAAAACGAAACCTCATCATGCTTGGTTACCTAGGCAGACAGTATCTATTGTTGTCTATCACAGCAGCACAAAAGGTGGGAAAAAATTTTGGTTTATTCTATGATGGGAAATTTTGTTTTTGTCAGAGAAGGTCCATGTGTATTATGCACAGACCACTGTCTCTGACAGATTCCTTCAGTAACTGTTCCTATATGCATGTACAGCACATAGTGGGTCGTGGGAAAGGTGAGTGCCTATTCAGCACCAAAATGGTATATTTAAATAAAAGCCTGACCCACGATCGTTGTGGAAACTACATACTGGATCAAGGCGAGGAGTGTGACTGTGGCTCCTTCAAACAGTGTTACAACAACCTCTGCTGTACAAATGATTGTACCTTCACCATAGACAGCAAATGTAATACAGGCCGATGTTGTACAAACTGCACCTATTCCCCTCCTGGGACACTCTGCAGACCAATCCAAAATATATGTGATCTTCCTGAGTACTGCCATGGGGAGTCCTTGGCATGCCCTGGTGATTTCTATATGCAAGATGGAACCCCATGCACAGAAGAGGGTTACTGTTATCATGGAAATTGCACTGACCGCACTGTTCACTGCCAAGAAATCTTTGGCAAAAATGCTGTGAAAGGTGCAGATGCCTGCTATACCATAAATAGAAGAGGCAATAGATACGGACACTGCAGAAGAATAGAAGGGAGAATGAAAGCTGACTTCTGTGCAATCGAAGACATTTATTGTGGAAGGCTGCAGTGTGGTAATGTCACACACCTCCCCCGCTTGCAAGAACATGTGGGATTCCATCAGTCTCTAATCTCAGGATTCTGGTGTTTTGGGCTGGACTCACATCGCTCCACAGGAGCAAATGATGTTGGTCATGTGAGACCTGGTACCCCCTGTGCTCCAGGAAGGTTCTGTAACAATACTTACTGTAATGGCAGTGTGGTCCAACTGAATTATGACTGCTTACCTGAGAAATGCGGCCACAGGGGGATTTGCAACAATAACAGAAACTGTCATTGCCACATAGGCTGGGGTCCTCCATGGTGCATTGATAGGGGTGCTGGTGGGAGCATAGACAGTGGACCCGCTCCAAGTAGGGTGCGGTTAGTCTTGCAGAGTCATGAATCCCTGATATATCTGAGAGTGGTCTTTGCTCGAATTTATGCCTTAATAACTGCACTCCTCTTTGGATTCACCACAAATTTAAGAACTAACAAGACAGTTAAGGAAGAGAAAGTTGGTGAAGCTCATCATGAAATCAGACTGCAGAGCCCTGAACAACAAAAGCCAGTCCACAGGAGAATGGCTGAAACTACAGTAGGAGGAGGCAAAGCTGACATCCATGTTTCCAGGAGTCTGGAGGAGACACAGGCATCTCAGCGCACATCACAGTGGTCCCGGCCCACATCCCTGGGGACTCTGAGCACATTCCAGGGGTCCCAGAGCGCAACACAGGTGTCTTGGCGCACATCACAGCTGTCGAGGCTCACAACACAGAGTTCCAGGCGCACATCACTGGGCTCTCGGCACACAGCACCAGTCTCTCACACCAGTTCTGTGATAGGTCACTGACAAGCATTCTGAAATAAAACTTGAAAAGTGCACAGTGGTGGTGTCTCCATATCTTTGTAAGGCTGTAAGAGCCCACATAGAGCCGAGACTCTGTCCAGAGTACCTGAGTCAGCATCGGAGAATTGAACCGAGGTCCTTGGGTGCAGAATTAAGGGAAGTTACCACAGGCTCCTGTAGGGAAAACTCATTACATTTCTACAAAATGGTGCTCATGACCAGTGAGGATTTTCTTATTGCTCAGATAATCTCTCTTTCTCCAGTCCCAAAGAGGGTCCAGGATGATGGAGCGCTATTCCCCACCCATGTTGCCTGTCCCACACTGGGGTGGCTCTGGGCAGGAGAAGGGGACTCAGGTGTGATCCCAACTAGTGCAAGCTGTGCCACCCTGAAGAGTTACTTTATGAATACAAAACTGAGACCATTTTCCTGAACATTGAATCCCATGAAATTAATCAGAAAATAGGCAGAATTGCCCACTGATGACTCTGGAACCCAAGAGAGCCCTAGGAATATTCATCCCTCCCTTCTTTTTAGTCTGAATTTCAGGGAGCTGAGCACTGATATTAGCTGTGTAGGTAATCACAAACAATCAACTTATTGTTCTGAGCTGCTGCCTGGGCATGGGACACAGAGTCCCATGAAACTCACCACCCCCCCAACACCCTTGGATGGGCCTGCCTGGGAGTCCCACTCTGGTTCCCCAGGCATCTTATAATGTAGCCACACAGAGGTGAGCCTGTGAAACATTAAGGACATCAGCCCCATCCACCTCCTTCGTTATTAGGTTCTTGCTGTCCTGTTCTCTATCTCCTGCTCCCTGGGGTCTATGGTGGTGGTCAGGCCTAACCTGGGTCATTGTGCATCCCTGGCTTCTGGGCTCAGTAAACCATAAAATCTGGAACTCCACTTCCACTGTGGGATGTAGAGAAACCACACCTCCAGTCAGAATGGTCATGTGGGTCTCATTTACCCAGAGGGGAAGCTCAGATGCCAAGGAAGTCACCTGTTTACCTACAGTATGTAACTGGACACAGACTGCATGTTCATAATTCAATACAGAAGCTGTGGGTTCACAACATAATTGTCCATAAGGGTGGGTTTGGGAAACCGCCCATGCCCCCAGCAATGCCTTGGAGCTGAGAATGCCTCACTCACCTCCTCACCCAGATCACTCAGCTTCTCTGAGGAGGAGCTGCTGCTTGTTGGTGGTCTGCAACATCGCTTGAGCTGATGACAGGTATTGCCAGAAGCCCCAGCCTAAATTTTCAATGATGTAAATGGTCAGACTCTTGGCACAGACCAATCAACAGGCACCAGTCTGGGGAGCCCCAAGTGTGCGTATTTCCTATTTGTCTCTAAACAATACTAAGCTGGATGTTGGGGATGGTTGAGATGAGCTATAGTTACAGGGGCAGGCCTGAGTTGAAAACAGAGGTGCTAACTTGGAAAGTAAGGCCCTGCCTCTTTCCCCAGCTGGAAACCTGGTGCGCAGACTATTTGGTTCTAGGATCCAAAGGTGGTGCCCCTAAGTTTCTGCCATTTGAGAGACCAGCTGCTCAACACGTTGTGGGGCATCAGGAAGTCAGGTATATAACTTAGAGCAGCAGCCCTAGGCAGTGACATGGCAACTCTATCATGGGCATCATGCCAGCCTGTGCAGAGACATTGGCCAAGGCAGGCATCCAGTGTGGGTGCAGCCCTTGTTACTGTCCCCAGTCACTCCCAGACTCTCAGGGGTTGAGTGGGACACCCGAGTGCAAAAGGCCACCATTCATTAGTTGAGGAAGAGGCAACTTCCATCCCAGGTATTCCCGGTCACCATGTATCAACATGTCCAAGGACCAGCATGAGTGAGACAAAGGGATAGGCAACCACATCATCGTGGAAATGTAAGGTTTCCTGGAATTATTTGTCCTCATGGATGGAAACAAGGGCACTGATATGCTCTTGTGAGTATTTTGAAATGCTTTTGAGCTGTTGCTTAAGTACCTGTCATGTGCCTACTGCCTGGGGTGGACAGACCCAAAAATTCAACATTCTTTGAAAACAATGAAGTATTAAAGGTCTGATTTTAGGGACTTCCTGGTGGACCCTCCACTCTTGTCGCTGCTCCCAAGGTCCATGCCAAGCACACCAAGAAAACAGGGCAAGAGGTGCAGGCCCAATGAAAAAGGAAGTACTCTGATGAAGAGCCAACTCAAGACCTCAGTCCCATTGAGGTAAGAAGGAAGAGGGTCTCGTTGCTGGGACATGGATTTTTGTGGCAGGAACACCCAGTGCCAGTGGGTGGGGACAAGCACAGGTGAGGCACACTTCCTCTTAGGTAGAATTGGGACGGTTCAGTGGGAGTGTCCTTTTGCCTAGCATCACCATCCCAGGAACCTTGGACCATTTCCAACCCTGAGGAGACACCTCTGTTGCCAGAATCTGAGGAGTTCTTCATGAAGTACAGCCCTAATCATAAGCCTGTACCTTTATAATTCATAGTAATACCAGATTCAGGACAGCAGGTATTAGACATCATGGATGCCATAGCCAGATGTAACAAGGAGAATTTTCCTGAAACACAAGAATTTTTTTTTTTTTTTTTTTTTTGCCACAAAGTCTCAATGGCCCCACGATCTCTACAAAGGGCAACAGAGTGGAGGGTTCCAAGGGTGCAAGGGGCATCTGGGCCTCTTATCAGCCCCAGTCAAGTGGTGGCACTTCATTCCTGCTCCTTTCCAGTGGAGATGGGTGACCCACACCTCTCTGTATGGGCAGCTCTGATATCAGGGTTCCCTAATGAGTTCATCTCAGGACTGCTGGGACACAAGTCTGAACTTTGTTCAGGTTCCTGAGGCTCATCCAGAGACTGCTGGCCTTACCAATCAGGTGGATTTCATCACCTCTCTAACACCACAGCCCCAGCCGGGTATGGAGAGCTAATGGGAATCCAACCCTGACAATTGGTGGAAGGTGGGCTCCTGCCAAGGCCCCTGTCTCAGGACCTGACAGTTCAGGAGCCTGTCACTCGTCCAAGGACATCCACCTATATACATCTCTAGTTACCTGCAGACACACACATACCCAAGCTTTGCTGCTTTCATTGACCCTGGAGCCAAGTTACACTGCTTCCCGGGGACCCCCCTAACAAAAGCAAGGGGTGCACTTTAGGTTATCTGTAGAACAGGCAGAGTAGTAGGTGTTCAACTTCCCTGGGCTGTCACTCATGGAGAAAATTTTGCTGCAACTCTTTGAGCGACACTTTGGCCCTGACCTTTCCTGGTAAAGGTACATATGACCTGACGTCCTGAAGGCCCGTGGGAACACAGCAATACATGATCTCTCTGGTGGGAGTGTCCATCAGTAGGCTGTAGAACTGCCACCCCTACCCGTGCCAGATCAAGACTCTATATACCCACTGATGTTGTTTGTAATAGGGGACTGAGCAATAGGAGCCTATAATTCAAGGTTGCTTGAAGGGAGGTGTCATTAACCAGACCATGTCTCCTTTCAGTTCCCCCGTGTGTCAGACGTTATAGCCCCTATTGGCAGGTGGCCCTTTACAGTTGACTAACAAAATATACATACCCAGGTCCTCTCTTACAACTTCCATTGCCAATACTGTGCAGTCAGCTGAGGACATTGAAGGAGCTGCAGGGGACCACACCACAGTGATTGATCTAGCTAGTACGTTCCTTTCAACATCGATGGCAGAGAAGTCCCAGCCCGGTTCTGTTTTCACTTTATATACCTGTACCGAGCTGCCTGTGGTCAATCTTGACAGCCACACCATCATCATATTTGCTCCACCACCTACCCCAGGTCCAGGGGAGAGGCCTATAGTTCTGGTCTGGGTGACTGAGGCCTTCTGTCACTGGTCATGCTGCTGTCTGCACACCCCAATTCCCATGTGCACCTGACAGGTTATGAGACATGGGAGGTCAACTGTCCTTTTTCAGCTATAAGACCTTTTTCCTCACCTGACCAACTTAGTGAAGAGTTTTGGTCAAGTTTTATACCTAGAGATATTAGGCAGACTTATTAGGGGGTTTCTGAGCTATGCCAACTCATGCACAGGTGGCCTCAGAGCCATAGGACACATTTTGTAGTCTGGATAATCTTTGCACCATGGGGGTTATGCTGGAACATCTATTGACACTCTGAAGTGATGTGGACATCAGCCCAAGAGTCTGATTGCCATGTTGTCTTTCTATGTCCCTGAGAGATACTTCCACGGAAGTTTTGTGGGCCCAAGAAACTGGGTGGAAGGAAAGGCAAAGTGACATCGTTGCTCTTGTACTGGACATTACAGCCTTCCATTCATCCATGCCTGTGTTGTGATCACCTGCTCGTGTGGACAGGCATGAGAATTAAGGATTGTACTCACAGTTTGGCGACCGTGGCCATTGCCGCTATAAACATTGGGGTACAGATGGCCCTTCTTTTCACTACATCTGTATCTTTGGGGTAAATACCCAGTAGTGCAATGGCAGGGTCATAGGGAAGCTCTATTTTTAATTTCTTGAGGAATCTCCACACTGTTTTCCAAAGTGGCTGCACCAACTTGCATTCCCACCAACAGTGTAAGAGGGTTCCCCTTTCTCCACATCCCCCCCAATACATGTTGTTTCCTGTCTTGCTAATTTTGGCCATTCTAACTGGTGGAAGGTGATATCTCAATGTGGTTTTAATTTGAATCTCCCTGATGGCTAGTGATGATGAACATTTTTTCATGTGTCTGATAGCCATTTGTATGTCTTCATTGGAGAAGTGTCTGTTCATATCTTCTGCCCATTTTTTGATATGATTATCTGTTTTGTGTATGTTGAGTTTGAGGAGTTCTTTATAGATCCTGGATATCAACCTTTTGTTTGTACTGTCATTTGCAAATATCTTCTCCCATTCCGTGGGTTGCCTCTTTGTTTTCTTGACAGTTTCCTTTGCTGTGCAGAAGCTTTTGATTTTTATGAAGTCCCAAAAGTTTATTTTAGCTTTTGTTTCCTTTGCCTTTGGAG